ACGGAACAAAATGTTTAATTACTCTATAATTATCTTTATTGTCAGTGCCAGTGCTTTCAAACTAGCCATTTAAAAGCAATAAAAAATAAATAAATGTTCGCCGGTCCGCGAACAACGTACTTGTCTCAACTCAAAAAAGTTGGCCACAACTTCTCTACATTATATCCATCCATCCAGTTTCTATGCTCCTTGTCCTCATTATTGAATTGGTCAGCAGCGATCTTTTTGACATAGTAAAAAAGAAAAAAAGAAAAGGAGAAAATTTGAGCGTAATTCGGAGTGTTGCTGAACGTCATGGTCCTGCTACCCACAAAATGCGTGCCAACAACTACAGGATCCATTGTGTGCAATCACTCCAGCACGAATTTTGAACTGTTATGATGATCATTTCAGGATAGCCGCAGAGAGTGTTCTGTAAACTTTACAGTTAAAACAGAACATCACATTGCTTATTTCCCAGTTTTCTGTCAAAGCTTCAACGGTTAGGTGAAAGGATAGTCGGCGATGCACCAACTCACCGATTGTCAGTCGATGCAGTTTGATGCATTAAAGCAACTGCAGGAGAGCACTTGAAGAAAGTAGGCTTCAAAGAAGCCACTGAGATAGCGGCTGCCGAATCAGATTTCTCTTGCGTTGGATAATAGCATTCAGGTCCCTAGAGGCAAAAACAAGGATGTGTGATAAATTATGAAATTCTGGGAGAACTGCAATGGATGGCGGTGTCATGCAATAATTGCTACAGCTCGGTAGTAGATGTGGGATGCACACTGCAGGCACCTTCCTTAAAAAACAAGTAACCCAAATCATTGTCCTCAACTGTCATATTGATCTAAGCCTTGTTCATGTTATGGTTCAAACTCGGGTTGGACCGACCAGTCACTTTACTTCCCCTAATGAGGTTTGGAGCATGTCGTTGACAAGCCACTTGAAGTCACAGATGAGCGTGCCGAAAGAAATTATTCCGTCACCTGAGCGGATTTAAATGTATTGATTTCGTTATTACTTTATGGCCATACGAAAGACTGGAGGACAAATAGTCATTTGGGAATTCTAGTTTACTTTTCTCTACTGCACAATAATTGTGACCTAAATCTTGCATTCAACAAATACTCCATGTATTTCCATCCATCCATTTTCCGATCTGCTTATGCTCACAAAGGTCGCAGGCATGCTGGAGCCAGCTGTCTTCGGGCAGTTGGTGGGGGACATCCTGAACTGGTTGCCAGCCAAACAAAAACACTGAGGCACAAGTTTGAGTGTTCCACTAACCTGCCATGCATGTTTTTGGAATGCGAGGGAAAGCCAAAGTACCCAGAGAAAACCCACGCAGGCACGGGGAAAACACGCCAACTCCACACAGGAAGGCCGGAGCCGGAATCGAACCCTGCACCTCTGCACTGTGAGGCTGACTTGCGCACCAGTCGTTAAAAATAAAAATAATAAACATACTCCCAAAAGTAAAAAGTAATACACATCTGAAGTCATGCAACCCCCAGTTCAGATGACTGAAGTGACAAATATTCTAAAGGTATTTAAAAAAAAAAAAAATTGTACCAGCGCATATTAGACAGACAATATTAGACACAAGATAATGAGATCAAATGCACCAGTTGGATCAAACAGTGTGGCATTGAAACAGAATTATGCCTATAGAGGATTTTTAATTAGTTTAATTCATTTGTAGAATTCGCATTCAAACCCATATGTACACAGACACAGCAGAAGAGACGTAAATGGTCTCCAGCAGTTGATGGTTCTGTGCCTTGCTCAACGATTTCTATTCATGAGTAAGAAGGAAACTGTCTTGACACCAAAAACCATACCCTATTTCCATAATTTGTTGGAACAATGCTTTTTTTTCTTCTTCTTCTCTGCTTATTTGGTCTACTGCAGGTTTCTAATCAACAATCCTTGATCCCTCATTATTTAGAGCCACGTCTTCACAGACAGAACTACTGTTCTGGTTGTAAACAGTATCATATATTAATCATAGGGGTGTTGAAATTAGCGCATTAATAACGAGTTAATGCAAAGTCTCTTTAATGCAACAAAAACAATTCAATGCCAACTAATCCACGCCCCTATTTGGAAACCCCTGCAGTTGGGGAAAATGGGGAATTCCGGTCGCAATGCAGCAGACACATCCACATGGATTACCCGCAAGAAATGCACTGCACTGCAGCCAATATACTGTAAGCCAGCGGTCCCCAACCTTTTTTGTCCCACGGACCAGTTTAATGTCAGACAATATTTTCAGGGACCAGCCTTTCAGGCGTTACGGATAAATACAACAAAATAATAGGATAAATACAACAAAATAATATTATATGACCTGCATGAAAACTGTGGTATTTTCGAAACATAATAATAAACATGAATCATGACACGAGGAACGTACTATCTTTCTCAAACGGTTCTGCACGGGCAACTCCCAGGCCCTTTTGAGAGCCAAGAGACGAGGGTATGCCTGTCTTGTCTTGTGAAGTGACTTCAAGTCACCTGCTATTAAGACACGAGGCGAATTTTATTCAGCTTGTGTCACATCGGTTTAATTTCTGGCTCATTTGCCGAAAAGCTGTGCCACAAATGACAATGTACATCAGTATAAAACAACAAAATTAAGTGAAACGATGTGTCAAGTGTCACTTTAACACAATTTTGCAATAATAAATATAATAAATCTAAACATGTGGGTACTGGGAACTAGTTTTCTCTGGTCAAAATGGACAGGAGTCCACAAATTGCTTCATGTTCTAATTAATTTACTACTTAATTTGAAAACGAAAACGGAAAAACCTATTCTCACCATCATCCAACATAAAACTCTATTGTCACCTCGTGGCATAAAAATTCGATGTCCATTTACCTCAACACACATCTGACTGAAAGTTTTCAACTCTTTATAAGTATATATTAAAATATATATTTTTTAACTTCAAATAATTTTATGAATTGCAAGAAATGCACTGCACTGCAGCCAATATACTGTAAGCCAGCGGTCCCCAACCTTTTTTGTCCCACGGACCAGTTTAATGTCAGACAATATTTTCAGGGACCAGCCTTTCAGGCGTTACGGATAAATACAACAAAATAATAGGATAAATACAACAAAATAATATTATATGACCTGCATGAAAACTGTGGTATTTTCGAAACATAATAATAAACATGAATCATGACACGAGGAACGTACTATCTTTCTCAAACGGTTCTGCACGGGCAACTCCCAGGCCCTTTTGCGAGCCAAGAGACGAGGGTATGCCTGTCTTGTCTTGTGAAGTGACTTCAAGTCACCTGCTATTAAGACACGAGGCGAATTTTATTCAGCTTGTGTCACATCGGTTTAATTTCTGGCTCATTTGCCGAAAAGCTGTGCCACAAATGACAATGTACATCAGTATAAAACAACAAAATTAAGTGAAACGATGTGTCAAGTGTCACTTTAACACAATTTTGCAATAATAAATATAATAAATCTAAACATGTGGGTACTGGGAACTAGTTTTCTCTGGTCAAAATGGACAGGAGTCCACAAATTGCTTCATGTTCTAATTAATTTACTACTTAATTTGAAAACGAAAACGGAAAAACCTATTCTCACCATCATCCAACATAAAACTCTATTGTCACCTCGTGGCATAAAAATTCGATGTCCATTTACCTCAACACACATCTGACTGAAAGTTTTCAACTCTTTATAAGTATATATTAAAATATATATTTTTTAACTTCAAATAATTTTATGAATTACTGTAACATGAACTAAAAGATACAATATTTGTATGACAAAAATAAAAAATGTATGTTTTCATATATTTTGTTCTCCATTTAAAATGAATATAAAATGAATTAAATTAATTTCTGATTAATCACGGGTTAACATGGCAATTATGCAATTAATCACGATAGAAATTTTGAACCAACAGACAGCCCTAATTAATAGTATAAATAATCTGGCTGTAATAGTCAAGTGTTTGAAACACTTTCAGTCCAATGGTGGTGAAACAATCTCCACTTACGTAGATCGACAAAAAAAAAAAGATCATGGCCAGTAGTCTGTGCCGTTTGTCACAAACTTGTTGTGGCTGAAGCATTTAATGTACCGAAATACAGTTGGAGCCCTGTGGTTATAAATAGTAAAAATAATTCAGGTGTCTTCGTTAAGTATTCCACACACTTTCAGTCTGGTGCTGTTAAAATGCTTCCTATTTACACAGACCTGCAAAAACTGAAAATGGTAAGTAGATGACGTTACTGCATGCATGCTTCCACTTGTGGCTGACACGGTCTACACCCGAACCAGGTGGAGTCTTGAGCCACAGGAGCCATAAGCGCACCAAACTAGACCTCATTATCATCAGCATCAAAAGATTAACTTTGAATGTGTTTTGCCTTTTCCAAAGGCTTTTTTTGCGTTATTTTATTGTGAAGGGAAAATTATGTTAAGAGAACAAATATCCACTGGAAGAAAATCCTTTACAGCCACGTGGTTGACTGAAAACAAGTATTAGTTCTTTTAAGAGTCAAGTTAATTTCTAATCACAAAAGAGTCCCAAAGGGGTTCACACGCCCACAAGTGACAAAAATCAACATCACCAGATCTAAGCCTCACATCCGGGAAAAAAGGATCACAGATAGTATGTTGTGCATTTGCATCACATTTATTTGTCAATGGAAATGCATTTGACAAGAATAATCAGTGAGCGAAGATGCAAACCCTAATTAGCTTCAGAGCCGCAGGCTAGCTAGTGCCGAACACAAACAATTTTAATGGTCTTTCGGGATGCTATTGGAGATGAACTTTCAGTTGGTGACTTTATCCAGGTAAACAAGCCTGACTCTTTCAGCGTAATGCTACCGGTGAGCAGGAATCTCAACAGCAGTGATCAGCCGGGGCATCCATAGCCCGCATTCTCCCCTAAAGCAAGAGAATTAGATGTGACACTCTGACCATTTCTCATTCTCCCCTTCTCTTCTCTCTCCTCGATGTGTTCTTGCAGCTTTGAGTGCGAACTGATGAGGTGGTTGACTTCTTCTTCAGCACACAGAGAGGAGAGACTTTTTTTCTGTCCACGGTAGGAATTTAAGGCCTGTGTTTGTGCACACATACAGTCAGGCTGACTCTCTCTCTCCTTGTATATATATATTACACAATGCAATGCTCAAATATATATATATATACACACACACACACATACATACATACACACACACGAGCACGCGCACACACACACATTGCATCCACAGTATATTCAAGATTATGTTCAGATCCTCTAATGACAAATCCCAAAACATGATAATAACAAAGATCTTGTTGGAGAACAAATGGAACAAAACCTTAAACCACACAACTACTCAAGGAACATTTGACACATCACTTTGATTGCTGTTGTACTTTTTTTCGTGCACTTGTGCATATGCGTGTCAAACCCATTTTTGGTGTTGCCGCAGCACCTCTTAAGGTGAATCCAAGCACCCCCAAAATATGAGATCTTAAGATTTTATGATATTAATTGTATGTCCCTTTTAAACAAGCAGCAGAAAGAGTTGAAAGCAATCCTGTTCGGCTTAGCTTGAGATGAGCACAGGACCCATAGGCAGACACAATGAACTCAGAACTGGTTTATTGTCAGGAATCGGGACAGGTCGAGGAAGCAGGAACCAAAAGTGGTCAGAGGAACTACGTCGAGGAGTACAGCTAGGCTTGAAAGTAACAGCTAGGCAACATCGAGTACGGCAGGGAAGGTAGCTAACAAACTGGCAACGGGTGGCTTTTCAGACTGACCTTTATGCTGCAAGGGGTGAGTGTGGCTGTAAAATGTAAAACGCAAAAGTAAAAGCCCCCGGCGACTGAATGCCCCAGACTGGATGTGCTCTGGCACCAAAACTGTCAGCTAAACCTCTGATCATAGAATCACTTCTGTACTTTCCCGGCACCTTTGTTTTCATTTGAATGGATGCAGATTACGTATAAAACAAATGCCTACTTTTTTTTTTTTCACTCCTGTGAACTCTCCACCGTAGGAGGAGTCCAGATTTTAATTGCTTCCCCACAGATTGCAGCCTCGCAGAGAAACTGGGTTAATTGCAAAAGAAGTGAGAGCCGATTGTGACCTTCACTGAATACTGCCAATTATACTCGCTGCACCACACAGCCCTGGTAAGGAAAATTGCGATAGCCTGACTAACGATTGAAATTATATAATTTTGTAATGCAGTTTAGAATAGTTAGGGTTATGACGTACCGTGCCATTATGAAAATTGTGTCTTGACAGGACTATTTACAAGGAAACTTTGCAGTCTGCCTACTTCATTTTGAAGGGCATCAGCTGAAAAGATAAATGTGTTCTGACTTCTTTGCTGGGCCTGTCTGGACATTGGGAACGTGTCTGTGGCAGTAGGAATCAAATGAGAAATCATTGCTACAAGTTTCACAGTACGGGCAAATTGCCATGAGATGATTCGGCAGATGGAAAACCATTTGAGAAAACTGCGGTCAGGCTTTGACAGCTTTACTTTAGCACTGCGATAACCGCAGCAGAATTGGCTAATATGAAATCGCAAATTTCAAGACTGTTAATTGGTCTGATGGGAACGTGTGATCACACTGGCCAATCTGTGCTGTGGCAAATCTTGGAGCGTTCAACACATTTGTGCTGAATTGTTGGCATTCCAGCTGTTCCAGCTCATGCATTTGGAGTTCATTTTTAGCACTGCAAGAAAGTATACTTTGTATTCATGAGGCAACATACAGTATTTCATTTAGTATGAATTTTATTAGGCCGGTCTGGTGGTCGGCTGGTTTGCGCATCGGCCTCGCAGTGCGGAGGTGCGGGGTTTGATTCCGGCTCCGGCCTTCCTGTGTAGAGTTTGCATGTTCTCCCCGTGACTGCGTGGGTTTTCTACGGGTACTCCGGTTTCCTCCCACATTTCAAAAACACGCGTGGCAGATTAATGGAACACTCTAAATTGTCCCTAGGTGTGAGTGTGAGCGCGGATGGTTGTTCGTCTCTGAGTGCCATGCGATTGGCTGGCAACCAGTTCAGGGTGTCCCCCACCTACGGCCAGAAGACAGCTGGAATGGGCTCCAGCACCCCCCGCGACCCTTGTGAGGATAGGGGACATGATATCCAAGTTGGATGTCTAGTGCAATCTTTTTATTTACCGTACGTACCGTAAGTTTTTTTTCATAATTTGGACCGATTTATATGTGAAATTATTAACACATTATAATAACATTTCAAATGGTATTTTCATATTAACTGCAAGAGCGCACTCTCGGCCTATTCTGATAAGTCGACGATGAGTCTGACGTTAGCGACGTAGAAGTGGAAGTGAATTGACTGAGTTGTTTAAAAGTGACACAGAGGATAAAGATTTCATTGGATTTCGTGATTTGGAGTGACACTGATAGTTTGGTCAACTTGTTAGCATCTTCTTTATGGTATGGTTATCTGACTAACTCTTAATATCTTCTGTGAACATACAAGGCAGGTTCTCAGTTCGTTGTTTATGCATCATGTAACGTTAGCATATTGTACGCTTATTCAGCCTGTTGTTCACTATTTCATTTTTATTTTTGTCTGTTCTTGGTGACTTAGATATGTTTTTTTTCTTCTGTATTTTGCATTTCATGGCTGGTGCGATTTATAATCCGTAAAATACCGTTGTCATTTCGATAACAAAAACAAACGTGACTTCTAACGTGAATGCAAAGCGTCCATGATATGACACGCATGCGCACAAAGCACAAAAAGAAACGATGTCACGTGGCATTCTTTACGGAAGTAAATATGGTCCCGCGCGTAGGGGCTCATTTCTTTGTTTTGTTTGGTGACCAGTTCAGGATTTACACTCGCCCAAAGTTAACTGGGATAGACACAACACATCATCAACCTTGTGAGGATTAAGATGTGTTCGAGAGACCGAATGGAATAATGGACGGTATAACGTCGAGAAGATGAAGTCTTCTAATTACTCCTGATAGCAAAAGGCCTTGCTTCCCATACTGCTACTGAATAATCTTCCAAGTAAATCCAAACCCTGAGAGGGTGTAATATCCTCGTGTGAAAGCCTTCGTGCGCAGAAACATGTTGTTCATGTTTATTGTTGTCAAGGTGATACAGTAATGGCAGTTCACACACGCTTTCTGTTGTTGGAACAAATTTTCAACCTACCTTTAATCATCTCATGCATTTTTGTCTCTTGGATGATATAAAGACAAGCACAAGCTCCGTCAATAGTCTTTATTATTAGAACAGAAGAAAATGGGTCTTTGGGGACCAGCTGACTGGAGGTGTATGTGGGCGCTGTGTTTAGCTGACATGTTTTATTACCCCTTTGGTTTGCCAGCAACAGTCTTGCCTGAAGGGAGTAAACTCTCATATTAACACACTTGATATGCTCAACTAAAAGATCATCTCTCACAACAGCTCTTCGCAACACATAGCCATCATTCACGATGCAAAATGTTAAATTGATAAGATCTTCACACGTCACGTCATAACATATTGAGCGAGTAAAGTGGAACTCTCAGAGCTCTCGGTGGACTGCTTGTCCTACATTGTAACATTGGGCTGATGATTTTTTTTTTTGGTCATCTCAATCTGCTGCTGTGCTGGACTTCGAAGACAAGCCATCTATTAAAAATGTGAAAACCATACCAGTGCTTGACAAATTACCCAAAGACATCCATCAAGTCAGTCGCACTCAATCAAAGTTGACAGTCAAGCCAAATCAGATGTCTGCTACAGTTTTGCAGATTCTGTGAAAAGTACCTGATCAAACTGTCTCAGGGAATATTAGGTGCTGCATTTTTGTGCCTCATCTAACTGAGCTTTGATCAGAAAATGTCTGGCTGCTAAAATCTATGAATGCCTCCTTCAATCTCTATTTATGAACATGTCCCAAAACTATCACGGCGACAGATGGAACAGTAGGAGAAGTCCTGGGGATAAAAGTTCAACTGCAGTTAAATCTCAGTCCCCGAATCATCAAGGATGTTTTGCTAGTCCAGGTGGTCCTGTGAAAAATGTGCGAACCATCAGTGAACTATTTCAATTTGTCCCGTTTTTCTTCCCGCCTCACATGATGCTGAATGTCAGCACTATCATCGAAGGTGTTGTTTCTCATTCTTGCGTCAATTGCCGAGACAGTTGGCCCTGTAATATTCCTCATGTGATAGCCAGAATTATTTTTGTCCCAGCCTGCAAATGAAGTGGCATATGTGATTTTTTTTTTTTTTTTTTTTGGGGGGGAGTGCGTCGGGAGGTTGGCCAAGCAACAAGAGTTGTATTGAATGTTGTTCTTAGCTAACCACCAGTATTTACCTGTGAGGAAACAATTGATGTCAGTTTGAGTCCAGTCAAATTGAGTATTGTGAATAAGCTTTTGGGCTTAATGGGTGCAAACTTAATACGCCAAATGTCTTTTTTTTTCCATTTAGTTCTTAAT